GGCACTTCATTGCCTGCATGTGGTGGGATTTGAAATATCATTTATTTGCCGTTTTGTGTTTATTAGAAAGTGGAATAGCTTTTTGATAAAGGCATCTCATTGCTGAAAGGGCAGCAAACCGTTTGACAAGAAGATGAAAAAGTAATGAAGAATTATTAATAAAACTATCTTCCCAATAGTATTTGAGCTTCATGGTCTGGAATTTCACAATCTAACCACCGTTTCAGAGCATTCATTGTATGTGCTTGCATTTAATTATCCCCCACATAAAGAAAAAAATGTGAGCCACTATGCACATACATCCAATTAAGTAGATGTCTGAGTGTAGATTTTAATAACCTTGAAAATTTATTCTGTTAGAGAAGAAGCCCAAGTGCTTTCCATATATTTTATGTCTCTTGCAACTGTGCAGGGGAAGAGGCACCAAGCAGGGTATACTAACCCCCATATGATGATTAAAAAAAAATAAGGAAATAGATCAAGTTAATTTGCAGGCTGAGCTGGGGCTAGACCCAAGGTCTGTAGTCTTAGCTGTTCCTTATTATATGATGTGTCTGGTTGCCCAGGAAAACTTCTGGGCAATTCTTTTCTCAATTTTTTTTTCCTGCCTGTGATGGTTAAGGTCAGTTTATATTCAGGAAGGAAGAATATATGTGGACCTCGGTTCTTAGTAATTAACCATAATCAGGCATCTTACAGAAAGATTCATAAGAGTCAGGTCTCTGTCCTGATACTGCCACCAGACTACTATGGGATCTGGGCAAATGACTTTGCCTCCTTGGGCCTAAACTTCCCATTGGTACAGTGAGGAACTGGACCAGATGATCCTGACCTTCTCTCCCAGCTTCTTAGTTGATTCATTGATATCTGAGTACCCAACTGGCTTAAGGAGAAAGGCAAAAAAATTAGGGAGAGAACAAAGAACATTTGCATATGGTTCATACAAGGGTTTGAAGGTCAAGATCAAGAGGAGGGTCTTCCACCTACCTATCTGTGCATCTATCCACCCACCTACTATGTAGGTGGGTGGATGTGCGTCCCTCCAAGCAGCAGATATGACAGTGACAGAGGATTTCATGCAGCATAAGTTTCCCATCTAGGGAATCTCCATGTGAGAGGAAGGCTTTATAGAAGAAAGAGTGCAGTCAGCATTTCAGCTGGGTCCTTGGGGTTGTGATAATACCACTTTGCCCCTGGAATCAAACATAACTGATTTCACATTATTCTGCATCTGTTACTTAATATCTGGATAACCTCACTGAGATTATTTGACTACACTATGCCTTTTCTTCATTTGTAAAGTAAGCCCTTTAACAATACCACCATCATTGGATGGTTGGGATATTATTGTATTACAGTTGGAGCACTTAGGAGAGGGCAGGGCATTTTCTAAACACTCAAATTAGTATCAGTTGCAGTTATTATTGTTGTTGCTGTAGCTTTAACTGTCAGTATAATTAATGAATCCCCACTCATTGTGTTTTGTAGATTATAAAGCTGGAGAAGAATGGCATCGGCTATCACTACATCCTTGCAAATCTGGTGAGTAGAGCACTGCAAGGCTCTCATCTCGGGGTCTTTCCAGGTTTGGGGTCTTCTGTGGTCTGTGGCTGGTGGGAACTGAATGGGCAGAAGGGGCTGTTCAGAACTGCAAAAGCGAGTCTTGGCAATACTAAATTTATCCTTTCCCTTTCACATTGTATTCACCAAACCACAGTACATATTGAGAAGGAGGGGTAGATAGGGGCCTCAGCTCTTAGGGATTAACCATACTCAGGCATCATATGGAAAGGTTCAAGAAAGGCAGGTCTCTATCCTGATGCTGCCACCAGACTACTATGGGATCTGGGCACATCACTTTCCCTCCTTGGGCCTGAACTTCCCCTCAGAACAGTGAGGGACTGGACAAGATAGATGATTCTGACCTTGTCTTCCATAGAAGAGAGCATACTAGGGGCGGCATCTGTGGTTCAAGGAGTAGGGAGCTGGACCCATATACTGCAGGTAGTGGGTTCAAACCCAGCCTTGGCCAAAAACTGAAAAAAAAAAAAAAAGAAAGAAAGAAAGAAAAAGAAATTAGAAAAAGAAGAGAGCATGCAGGAAGACAGTCACCACAATTCCGGCTTGATTGTTTCTGCTCACTGGCAATGAGGAGAATTTCACCACATCTTTGAATGGATACAAGATGTCTTGATCCCACTGTTTTTGACCCTCTCTTTTAACCCCAATGATAGTTGTACTATTCATAAGTACTAGCATTTAAATTATAATTATATTAGCATTGACCAATTTTTCACCATAAACAATTTTCCAGCATGAACAATATTATGTCAATTTAGTTTTTATTCACTTTTCTACATGGCATAGATAAGTCCATCTTTTTATTAAAAATGTATTTTCATTTTAATGGTCTATAGTTCATTTTATCCGGCCCAATTATTTTTCCTATTACAAAGACTTAATTCATCAAGTCATTTCTGTACATATTAAATTTTACTGAGTAGCATGTGCCATTATTGGTTTTCTTTTGTCACCATTATTTCCATCAACTCTATTTTTTCTGGGTCATGTTTTGCACATCTACTTTTTTTATCATAGAGTTTGATTCTTCTAGCTTTTCTCTGCCAAAGCCAAATGTAATTTTATTTTACATTTAGTCCCATTTTTAAAGGCTTTGTTGTGATGCAATTTATTTCTTTTTATTTTTTTTAAAAACCAAAATTGACAAGAAAATTTAGTTATTTTGTGACAATAATTTAGTATAATAACCACAACTATGACTGATAACATATATAAAGACATCAGTATTTTAGGAACATTGTGATGCAATTTAAAGTGTACAGTTAAATGGTTTTTAGTATATTCACAGAGTTATGAAACCATTACTACAATCTTATTTTAAAACTCTGCATCACTCTAAAATGAAACCCCTTACAAAATAGCAATCTCTCTCCATCACCCTCCATGCTCTCCTAGCACCAGGAAACTACTAATATACTTTCTATGTCTCTGTATTTGCCTATGTGGGATAGTTTATATTCATGGAGTCAGATGACACGTGGTCCTGTGTGGCTGGTTTTTCACTTAGAATAATGTTTTCAAGGTTCATCCACATTGCAGCCCGTATCAGTACTTTATTCCTTTTTATTGCTGAATAGTATTTCATTGTATGGATATATTACATTCTGTTTCTCTATTCATCAGTTAATGGAAATTTGGGTTGTTTCTACTTTTTGACTATTATAAATTGCACTGCTATGAATATTCATGCACAATTATTTTTTTCCTTGACTATATACCTAGGCATGAAATTGCTTGGTTCTATGTTAACTATATGTTTTAATATTTTGAGGAATTCCAAAATTATTTTCCAATGTGGCTGCACCTCCCATCAAAATAAAAAAAAAAGTGTTTTTCCATGTGTCAGCTTGAAGGATTATCAGTTTCTTTTCATGGTAGCATTTTCTATAAAATTTCTTTATTATTATGGCTTATCTTTGCAATTTTTCATGTTTCCATTAAGATGTGATTTTTGGCTTTTGTCTATAACAAATTTTCAGTTTTAACTTTGCGTAACTGAACATATAATCATGTGTAGCTTTAGCCATCTTATTTCATGTTATTTCTATAAGTGATATTAATTATAATTCAACAAAAGATTGGTATTTTCTATTTATTTTGGGAGTAAAGGTCATTAGTAAAAAGGCACAGGGTACATAGATCTAAAAATGTGAGACAAGTATCCTGCTTCATCCTTAAAGTCTTTCCCTCCTTCTGGTCTCCAGCCTTCAACCAATCCCTGCCTTACGATACTTCCCCTTCAAAACTTCCTTATTTTAGCAAGGATATTTCAGAGCCAGGACTGGCAATAAAAAGGATATATTGAAATAGGTTAATTTAGGCCCAATTGGTAATGGCTAGATACATTATGTTTCTTAGACATATTTGCATTTTAAATGAGTGATGACTACCAGCGTCTCCTGGGGAAGCAATGGTGTCACCCTCAAAAGATCATTTGCAAAGATGGCTTTGAGGAAAGCCTTTGACATCTCTTGAATCTCAGATTCTTAGTGGTAGAAGGTACTTTGGGAGTCAACCCCATCTAAATTTCATTTGCTTCTAGGGAAACGATCAGCAAAGGGGTGTGACTTGGGCAGCACCTCCCGTGAGTCAGCACTGGAACTAGGCTTATATCACCAAGGGTAGCAGGCAATATCCAGAGCCCTTCCTGTTGCTCTAGGTCGTCTCTCCAGGAAACCATGCAGACTCCCTGCTGCTTGAGAATACACAGACAAGGGTGGGGATGTGCATAATTACCTCTCTGGAGTAGGACAGAAATTCCACATCAGTATCCTTAGTGCCGCTAAATGATACTGGGTAATTGTGTTGCCAACCTCCATCTGTTACCCAGTGACCCCTCAGCCACAGCATCACTGAGTCAGCCCCTTGGGTTCCTGTATCCTTCTGATCTGTGTTTTTCTTCTTCTGACCTAATGAGCTCTCGAATCTTTACAACTGCCAGCTAATAGGATGCAAATTGCATATACCATCCAAATACAAAAGACTTGCATGTTCCAATAGATTAGTTGATAATTAGGCTTCAAATTACTAATTAATTCAGTTTGAAACATAGTCGAGTATGTGGTGTGTTTTCCTCCTCCTTCAGAGGAATAATGCGATTCATAAGATGATAATTTTTAGAAATTCTGCCACATAATTAGCCTGCTGCTGCATGGAACTGACCCCCTCCTTCAGAGTGTTTGTGATTAGGGTATAATTATAGAGTTAGGGACCAAGGAAGCCTTGAAAGGTTTAACAAAAGAAGGAAGCTACACTTTCATTTTGCAGTCCTTGCTGTCCCCATCAGAATACAGGAGCTTCAAAGTAGCCAGCAGCATCCTTGGAGCAGATCATCTTGCAGGGGTGCTTTTGGGGCTCAGATAGCCACCTTTGAAAGGGTGCTGGAAGAGAAGAAGCAAGAAAATTGTAGGTCAGAGAGGAGAGCTCATGGGCAGAGAGTTAAAAAACAAAACCTGCTCTTTGTCTAGATGCCACCCTTAGCTTAGCTAGCTTTGTATTCTTGGGCAACGCTCCAGTGCTCAATTTTCTTGTCTGTCAATTGGGAACAATAGTTTCTCCTCTACCCACTCATAATGTAACTCAGGGAACCAAACATGTTGCCAAATACTACTATACTTTGCAAAGTTACAAGTATTCTGCACAGGTAGAGAATTCTTACATCATATATTAAATCTACCTATCTGTATACATTCACAAGTCATGTGTATGTTTACACATATGTATCCTTATATGTGTACTCATATTTTATACACATTTGATAGAATAGATATATGTGTATATTTTCATAGCATTGGTATGTTTGTAACATGAACTTGAACCATGCAGAGATCAGAAGGTTATACCATTGTTTCTCATAGATGCTCCTGAGCCCTGGAACCCACTGGAGTGCCAAAGCTACTCTGGCCACCAGTGTTCTTCCTACCCCAGCACTGCCACTGCATTCACTTCCTGCTCTGAAACTGGGGGTAAGGAAAACACTTCCAGAGACCCCAGAACTACAAAGTTGGACAATAGAGTTGGCAAACTCATCCTAGAAATAGTGATATCTCCTTAGTGATAGTCAGTACAGTCACCTTCGAAGTACTCCCCTTGGGAAGTTGTGCACCAACACCAGTGCCTAGTCTTCCCTTCAAAGCAATTTTGGGACTGTTTTTCTGGAATGGCCATCAGAGTTGTCACTGTGGGAGGTCTGACGACTGAGTTTGCGAATTCATCCTAGAATAATTGCTTTGAAGGGTGGACTAGGCCCTGGCATTGGTGTTTAGCTTCCCAAGGGGAGTACTTCGAAGGTGACCATTCTGACATTCATCAAGGAGGCACGTCATACTTTTTCTAGGATAATGAGTTCACAAACTTAATTGTCTAACCTTATAGGTTCTGACTCACCAGAAGCAAATCTTAGGCCAAAGAAATATTTTTCAAAACAGGGCTTGTGGACCTCTGTAATATGTCTGCAGAGCCAGTTTGGGAAACATGGCACTAACAAGTAATTGCTTTTGTGCTGCTGTGATTGTGAATGTATGTACCTTAACCATGGAAAAAATGACCAGATTATCATATTAATAACTAGAATTTCATTGGAGTAAAAGCATATACTTTAAAAGACTTGGAGGGAACTAGAAGTGCCCTGAGAATGTATCCAGTTTCTATCATACCCTCGTTTGAGGAATACTGAGTTTGTTGGACATTGATGAGTATGGAGCATTTAGTGTTTTCTGGAGTAATAATGTTTTCTGAGTAATAATGGTAACAGCAATCTCTCCCATTTTCACACCATATTACAACTTCTGTGACATATTTGCATGAATCATTCCACTGGGTTTTGAATGCCATAATAGTCTTAAAAGTATTAAAAGGTCTTAAAAGGTAGACTTCATCACCCCCATTTTACAGATGTAGAAACTAAGTTTTCAGAAACATTGCATGACTAAGCTGCAGAAGGCAAAGGCAGGCACTTAATT